CTGTAATGTGAAATCCGGCTCTAGAAGCGGGAACGCAGGCTTTTGAAATTCAATCATTCATAAATACTGAAGCCAGTGACACTTATCTGAGTACAAAGCCCCCTTTTTAGATCACCCCAAAGCAAGCAAATGGGAAGAGAGAAACTGACGGAGAAAGCTCGCCCGACCTTGTCTTCATCTCAGCGAGCGATTAAATGGCAGCTGCCTTGTGCCAAGTCCTCGTGCTTCTAGACACGGGTATTCACGTGTGATGAACATGCCACACAGGTGTGATCCCAACACCAGGCAGTAGATGCTTTCACTGGGCGAAATCATTGCGGTCAAAGGTGCCTTCTCATGAGCGCCCCTCGCTCTGAACACACTTGTCCCGCGGCCCGCCTGCTCTCTGAAGCTGCCCGCGAAGCTCTCTGTCACGCCTCTACCCAGCGCCCTAGAAGCCGCCAGCGCAGAGGCAGCTCATCATAAAAACGTGGCTCCGCGTCCCCACCCACGTGCGCCTCCCGGCTCTCCCCGAAGTCAAAATGACCATGAACGCGAACATTTGGAATCAGCTCAGGCCGAAGAGCGAGGCTGCCAGGACAGCGTGAGGGAAGGCCCTCCAGGGAAGGGGTCTGCTGCAGGAAGGGCCACGGGACAAGTGTCTGAGGGGAGAGGGAGTATTTTAAAGGGAAGTGAGGCCAATATACGTTTTTACTGTGATAAATTTTTAAAATTTAAACATTACCACACTCTTCAGTCACAGCTCATATATGAGAAAGGTTATGGGAAAATAGAAAGGAAAGGAAAAAACAGAAATACAGTAATAGCTAGGGGCTCCATACACATACTCATTTCAAAAGGACATTAATAACTCTTTTAAAGTTATGTTATACTTCCACAAAGTATATTTACATTTCAGGTTTAGGTTCTTAATCTTAGTCACAGAAAATAATTATCCTGGGCTAGGAGATCGCTTAGAGGCCAAAGCACCAGCCTGGGAAGCGCAAGGTCCTAAGTTCTATGCCCAATAACAAAAAGTAAAATATAAATAAATAAAAAGAAAATGCTTCTGATGCAAGAAATGGCAAAGTCAAAAGAAGAAATCAAAGGCAAAGAGCTGGAGCTGGTTTCAGACGCCACAGACATCCACAGGGCGCCTCAGCGGAGCCCCGGGTAGGGCCGCCGCATCCTGCCCTCCCGCAGTCCAAGGGGTTTCTCCTAACAGCGGAGCGGCGCGCCTGGGTGCCAGCGACTCGCTCCGCGCACAGGGCTGCAGCGCAGGCTCCCGGAAGGATCTGAGGCCATTCGACAGTCCCTTTAGCAGCCGAAATTCCCCCTGCTCCAGTTCCACGCTCGCCAAGCAACCTGCTGGTACTAAATTGCTCTCCCATGGATTCCGCCCACTGGGACAGACAGAGGGCGGCGACTGAAGTGCACATCCGGGTCCTCCTGATACTGTTACACGTTTCAAATTAATAAATGGCCCTTACTTTACTTCATCCTAATCCTGAGCTAGGATGAGTCCCAAAAAGCTGGGTCTCTTATGGGGTGCCACTGGGCTGTGGCCCAGAGGACCACAGGAAACTCTTTAAAGAACCACCTGCTGGGCTGCGCCCAGGCTTCTGGGTGCCCTGGCAAGAAGGGGACCCTGTGGGGCTCAACAGCCTGGCCCCGGGCTCCCTTTTTCTGTTGTCTCATTGCCGAACGCGGGGCAGATCCCTGTGAGCTTCAGGGCCGACCTGGACGGGCTATGGAGCAGGGCACACGAGAGTGTTCTAGATAGGAGGTGCGACTGGCGAATACTGGCAGCGGTTAAATGTTTAACATCGTGACAGTAGAAGGCACTCCACCATGAGCCCCCTCAGAACCCCCACTCGAGGCGCGCTCCTCCCGGCGCCCTTGCCACCTGCAGAGTCCTGCAGGCCCTTTCCCAGGCGTCCGTAGCTGCACGGTCCTGACTATCTTGGCGTCTTGCATGGATTGAAAACATTTCCCTCCTGCGGTCAATTTGACCTTCAGTAAGAGCGGAAGGTCACGCGGTGCCAGATCCCGTGAATAACACGGACGAAGACGTTATTCCTCGTCCAAAATGGGGACAGCGCCCCGTTTTTACGAGCTCCTTTTCTCTTCCTTGGGCGGCACTCGGCAGCAGCATTCGCTGTATTTCTTTTCACATCTTGTAAAGACACTCACGAAAGAGCACTCCGGAACTGCTTCAGAAAGCAGCAAGGATGGTAGTGTGTTCAGAGCGGCCGGGTTTTGCAGGAGGGCCTGGCAGCATGGCTTCTACTGTAATAAGTGTTAATGTGAATATTCTCGGCATGTTGGTCTTTCCTCAGTTACCCTAAAGACAGCCCTCTGAACTCTGTTTACACAAACATTAGGACAAAATGGGGACAGCAAGCGTAACCCTCCAAGATATTCTATATAGAAGGAGGTAAGTGCAAACAAAGGATAAGACCTTAACAGGCAGGAGGCAGGCGCTATGGTGTGTCCCAGCTACTCAGGAGGCTCAAGCAGGACAATCGCAAGCTCAGGGTGACCGAGGGAGATTTCCCCAACCTCAAGAAAGTATTAAATATATGTTTGTGGTGGGCAGATGGGGTGCGGAGTGACCTGAGGGGACAGAGCCAGTGGGAGAAGCAAGATTAGGAACTGCAAGGTCCAGAGACAGAAAAGCAGAGGGCTGGGAGGGTGCTGGCAGAGGGAGGAGAGGGGCCAGGGCCTGCCCGCTAGGGGAGGCAAGTGGTGCAGAGCCCAGGCAGCCGCATCCTGGGGAGCCTACTCACCCACCTCCCCCCCCCCCCGCGCAGAGTCTCTGGGGACCTGGGGCCCAGCCAGCGGGATCCTCTGCTTCCATGGAGCCATGGGTTCTCCGTGGTCCTCAGGACAGCAAAGGCCCCCACACGGCTCCAGCAAGCCTGCCGGCAGCCACCATCCTCTCCTCCCATCTCTCTAGTCTGGTTTTTCCTTCCCTCTGGAGACAGAGCCTCCCCGAGAGCTAGAAGGTAACTGCAGATCGCAGCTCCCTTTCTGTCTAGTGTCACTTGGAGCACCAGCCTCCTTTCCTGAGACAGGTCCCTTCACCAGCCCAGTACAGATCTCGGTGTGTCCAGGCCTCTGCTCCCTCGTCCTCCCCCTCCTCCCCACCCTGCCTATTCCCCTCCATCTCTCTCGCTCTCTCCCCTGCGCACCTCAGTTTCCTTAGCTCCCCAACTTTGCTCCATGTTCCTCTCGGCTCATCTCACCTTCTCCCCACATCCCACTAGGAGGAAAGAGGAAGCGCTGCACCCCAGAGAGCTCGGGAACTGCTGTCCAGTGGCTCAGGATCTGCCTCCGCCCTTCTGCTCCCCCACTGCCTCTGGTCCCAGCCCTGCCCGCACCTCCCTCAGCCCTGGCTCCCTAGGGCCTGAAGAGAAAAAGCCTCAGGTGTCCTCCCTCACCTGGACACTAGGACAGCACAGCCAGGGCCACAGCCCCAGGACAGGTGGACAGTGGGACTGGCCACAGCCCATGGCCAGAGAAGGGGACCCTGGAGCAGTAGAGGAGCCAGCGTGGGAGGCAAAGCCAGTGGGGGACCAAGCCATGCCCGAGCATCTGAAGTGAGTACGTGGACCATATTTGCTGCCAGGAGACTGCAACCATCGTACAAAAAAATGAAAAACACTTTAACCCACTCTGCAGGTGTCCCACCTGGATGTGTATGAGTATAAAAGTGAAGATTAATTCAGCCAAATTTATAAATTGCTCGGCACTCACTATCGCTGCTGCTCAATATGCAATTTGCCTTCTGGACTCACTGTCAGGTTCACATGGTCCTGAGTTAACCTTGAAGTCTGGGTTGGGCCAAGCAAGCAACCACCACCCAGCTGCAGAGTGACACAGCTGTCCTTCCCCTCACCCATCCTCTCGGCCCCTGCTGTCACCAGCTGCCTGTCCCTGCCCTGTCCTCCCTCTGGGCCTCCCTTGCTGCCTCCCCACTTCCAGCCCTGTCCTTCTCTCCCAGATGTGTCTCTGCCGCTAGTCACCCTCCTTCCCCTTTTCACATCCTTCTTGCTCCCCACAGCTGGAATCCGGTGGCCCCAGGCTTCACCTGTCACCCCCAGTTAACCCTCTCTGCAGCTCAGCCGAGCATGGTTACCTTCCAGGATTATCAGGAAACAGGAGCAGCGCAGGGCTGTCCAGCCACCAGACTGCCAGCACAATGCCCCTGGCCGCAGACTGGCACCCAGGAAAGGAAAGCTGCTATTATGCTCCTTTTTCCCAGATTATCTTTAAACTTCCACACGTAATAAACCTGCTCTCCATTTGAGGGCCACCTCGTCCCTCTGGTGGCACTGTCCTCACACTCAGGCCTCCGTCAGGTCTCCCACCCTGCTTCCAACCTGGGCTGGGCATGAGGGGGGACAAAGAGGTGCGCCAGCCTTTCTGAGCCCACTGTGCCGGGAGATGGGGACAGGGGACATCAGGGAATGTCACTAGGATGGTAAAGGAGGGCACTGTGGGAGCAGAGAGCAGAGTCACCACGCCTGTCACTGGAGTCAGCCAGGACTCACAGGTGGGCTTCCGAGTTGAGTCCTTTTGAAAGGAAAGAGTTCACTGAATTAATTGAGGTAAAACAGGTGATGAGAACAGTGCATGGAAAGGCCAAGTGTTGGGGAGCAGCTCTGGGGGCCGCAGCCATGAAAGCCCAGGGGCTCAGGAGCATGCAGGGTGGCAGAGTACTAGGAGCAGGACTCTGAAGGACCTGGTCAGCCTCGCCTCCGTCACTGTCATCCACCCTTCCCATCCCTGAGCTGCGCCTATGGCCTGCGCTACCTCACCGACCCTCACAGAGACAGGGACCATCACTGTTCCCGTAAGACAGATGAGGCAACATGGTCACAGTCACGAGCCTGTAGATGCAGAAGCAGAGAGGTGTTGGTATGCAAGGACCTGCTCAGGAGCAGCCCTGCCTCCCTGTCACCGTGCCCTGGGTCTCCCTGTGCCATCCACACAGCCAGCTTTGGAAGATCACTTACCTGCCACAGACTGGTGTGAGAGGCGATGTGGGAGAAGTGACAACTGGCAGGGGGAGCTGCTTTCTAGAGACATCGCTGCAAGTGGTTTACACGTGGAGTGCAGAACAAGGAGGACTCTGAGGTGACATCTAGGGTTTTGCCGCTAACTAAAGTGACAAATGCTTCCACATAAGAAGGAGAAGAAGGTGAAAGAGCAGAAGCAGGACCAGCACTGGAGAATGATGTGTTTGATTTGATTAGTTCTCAAATGCCTCTTGGTCACTGAAAATATCCTCGGGGCTGAAGGGAAAAGGTTAGAGTCACAGTCCTGAGGAAGCACTGGAGCCACAGGGAATGGATGATCTCACTCAAGAAGAGCAGGAGTGAAGACCGGCGGGACAGCAAGGTGCAGGAGCCAACAGAGCCACAGCAGCGCCCACAAGGCTGCCCCCGGCCTCTTGACCCGGGAGACCCTGTGGAACGGAGGCTCTGAGAAGTTCAGCTGAGTGAATCAAAGGTCACTGGAAGCAAGGCAGCCTCCCAGTAAGGCAGGATCACATGTCCGGAGGTAATGCTCAGTATTTCTTTAGGAAATTATTTATCAATTTTTTTAAAAAATAAAAAATATAAATAAATAAAAATTTAAAAAATATTTAAAATCTCCAACACCACTAAGAGATCACTGTTTTTGTTTTCTATCTTTCCATGAGAAATCCTACGTTCTGGTCCTCCTGCATGCCCCACAAGCAGCTAGACTGCAACCAGTAAGAAGTTCTAATTCCGGGAGGTACAATTTCCAATTTCCTTTTAAATAATCGATTTCCTACTGGATAAAAATATGTAATTCTCCATGTTTGAGCAAAGTAAAATACCCCTCTGCATGCACACGCAGAGAGAGAGAGAAAGAAAGAGCAAGAGCCACTCCCAGGAGCCAACAAAAGTCATCGGTACTCATTTTCAGTGATTCATGCCTAAGACAATATGGAAGTGCCATGAACAGAGGCCAAGCCAAATCAGCCTGGCTTTTCGCCTAGCAGTGAAGGCTGAAGCGAGCCACACCTGAGGGAAGGAGCCGGTGCCTCCCGACACAGGGGCCCTGATTCCAGTGAAACCTTGTACTTCCTCATCCTTTTCTAGTAAGCGTCGCCCTTAATTAGTACTTCTCATCAGCATCTTTTTCCTTCAAACGGCCAACTCCTAGCCAGAGAGCTGAGACACTTTTCTGCCTATTGATGAAACAGCCAGAAGGATTTATTCAAGCACTGAAAACCGAAGCCACCGGCCTCAGAGACCCAGCCCAGTGCCACCTGTCACACATGCAGCATAAATTCATCATAGAATCACAGCACCTCAAGTAAGAGTGGGAGATAAAAGTTTCTGTAAAAACATAAAACAGACTACCGTGAGGGGAAGTGGCCAAGACTCAAACCAAAAAGCGTGCATTTATGCTACTTCCATTGTCATCTGTAGGCAATGTCAGCTCAACAAAAAAAAAAAAAAAATTGTATTTCAAACAAAAAAGCAAAAACGGTGTACCTTCCTTCCCCAATAAACTTCCCCTTGAATTATAGTCAAGTAAAAGGAAAATATCACAGCATGTTTGCCAGACCTCACCCACATAGATGAAAATAGCAAAACAAAAGAGGAATCTGGAAGAAGGTAACAGAAAGTCCCGCCAGCCCCGAGCGAAGGCTCCGCCGTTCTCCCCAGCGCTGGGCGGCTTCCCACCTCCTCACCTGGCAGGCCGACCGCACCCCTCAGCGGGGAAGGCTTCCCAGCCACACAGGAGGAAGATCACGCTAGCATGCCTTCCGCGCCCCTGGCACTGGGAGAGCCAGGCTATTCTGAAAGCTCTAGTAATTGCATAGAAAACAAACCGGATCTCCAGGGACCATTCTTGAAAACCTGAGATCAACTCCTAGAAAAATACCCCTGACCGCCTCCCACGACTGGAAGCTGCTAGGTGGGAACCAGAGTCTGCATCTCCCCGAAAAAAAGAGGAAGGAAGACATGGCAGAGAGCAGCTTCGCTAAGCAGGGAGGACCAGGGGAAGAAACGCTGCTTGAAGGAAGCCTGGCAGCCCCGAAGGGGCCCTCCGTGTGCAGGTGCCTGCCGCCGCCGCTGCCGGGCACATGTGCTTAAGCGTGGGAGAGCAGCAGAAGGAACTCCCAAGCGGCTGGCCTGAGGTGGGCTGAGGCCGGCTTCCCCCAGGATCAGAGCTCTGAGGGCTGGAGGTGAAGGGCGGAAGGGATGCCACCGTGACTGCTTACCCAGCTCTGTGGCCAGACCGAGGAAGGCGAGCGACGCCCTCGGGTCCCACCTGCTGCTCAGACAGGAAAGAATTAGCAGTGGGCTTCTGTTTTTCTTTACATCATTGCAGGGGGTGGGGGTCGAGCTCTCTATGGAGGAGAGCTGGACACACCCAGGCAGCATCTAACCCTCGAGTCCCTGACACTTCTTCTTTCCCAACAGACTTGATTTCATTACAGAGGAAGTGTTAACCCTGAGGACACTGAGGGACAAATAATCATAGTAAACGGATTTAAATTTATGAGGTGGAAATCACTTGGAAGGGTCCCCCCCAAGGTGAGATCACAGGAAGACAAACTATGGCTGTGGGTGTCTGATTTTAAAACTGGAAACCTGGCTCCTTCACACACACCTAAAGCCGTTTAGGGATTATAGGGAAGTTGCATCAGACTCACCAGTTAAGTGCTGAAAGCGGGGAAGTTTTAATCCTTTCTCCAGGACCAGAGCAAGCGGCTCCCCTGTGCCTCGTCAGTGTCACCCTCTGGCCACAGCCCCGGACCAGCCCCTAGGAGTTCACAGAGCACTAGAGAGACAGAGACAAGGGGAACCAGAAACTCGATTTCTAGAAACAAGTGAAGGTTTTCTTCCTTATATGATAAAGCAGACCAAGCACAGCTTGGAAAAGGAAGCAATTATCTCATTAAAATATTTAAAATGGAAAGCATCTTTAAATGAAAAAAGGAATTTAAGGATAGGCTCTACCATTTTAAAGCTAACATATAAGGAACACAGCCATGAACATGAGCACAAAAACATAAGAGTCCCTGGGTGTGAGCCACGCAGTGGTGTGCAAATTATTTAAGTGTTAAGGTTTAGCTTTTTGGTCGTAAAGCTCAGAAGAGTACAGCCTTCTTGTGGTAGCTGTTTATGAGTATTAAATGAGATATTCCCTAATGAATGACAAATAAATAAAAGAATGAGCCTGTGTGTGAGGTGCATACGTGATGATAGACAAAGAGACAAAGCACCTAATGCAGCCCCTTTCATGTAGTCCTTCCTTAACAAAAGTCGAGATCAGCCTCCCTCCGGAAGTTTCCCAGTAGCCACCACTTCTCTTTCTTAGACTACAAAGACATCTGAGTTCTGAGCTACTCCGCATCTCCAGTCATCCAACCGCCGGCCTGTCTCCCCTCATAAGACAGTAGTCACCAAGCGCATCTTTCCGTATCTTCTCAATACTCCCTAATAGCCAGGCAGATAGCTCAGTGGCATAAGCACCTGCCTGGCAAGTGCAAGGTCCTGAGTTCAATCCCTGGTAGCAAAAAAACTCCCTAATAAAGCACAAGAAAATAGATATTTTTAAAGGATAAAACCAATATGAGTAAGTAGATGTTTCTGCAGTTTCTGCCTGCATATATGAGATTGCTTTTCGTCCTCTACCTCACCTCCCCCCTCTCACCTGGACCCCCACCACACTAATAATGGTCCTGATCCCCTCTGTCTTCTCCTCAGCAATTGAAACTGAATCACCCCATTGAGAAACAGGCCTACCAAATCTTTGAAATCACACATCCTCTCATGATCTTTCATTTCTGAAAAGAAAGTATCGTTTCCTAACCTCTCGTAGTTTCATGTGTTCTCTGACACGTTCTGTGGTATTTTAAGCTCACATTTACCCACACGTGGTCTGCCACCAGCTATTTTCTGTTTGAGGGGCAGCCTTTGGTGAAAGAGTAGGTTTCCTTCCACTGGCCGGTAGAAACAGACCCGTTGTTGATGGCATCCATTATTTTTCATGTGGGATTTTTCCATTTTCCATGAACAAGCTCAAAGTGAAGTTTGAGTTATTACTCAGCTAACTCAACCAAAGAGAAAAAGAGATGTAAACATGAGACATCTCCTTCAAAGGTAAGCCACGGATAGCAAGCTATATTCAGAAACAGACCAAGTTGAAGCCTTGCTTGGACAACTTAGCAAGACCCTGTTTCAAAAAAAAATTTTTAAAGGGTGGGAGTGGTTGCGGGGCAAATAGCTCAGTCAAAGGCCCCAGATTCAATCCTTACTACCAAAAATAAACGGAGTTTTCTACTGTACTATTACAACTTCAAGAATTAAAAATCAACTAACAATGGTATAAGTCCACTACTACGTTAAAACTAAACTGTATGGTTTCCTTTAATAAATAAATAAAGGTACTCAAAATCATCTCTAGGGAGCAACTAAAAATCATCTTTACAGAGCAACTCCTGGTATCAGTGTGGACTTTTCCTTGAGGGCTTTCCTAGCTATCCCTTTCCATGCCTAGGACACAGAGGGACATGCCCAGAGTCTCCTGTTACACAAGCCCATTCACCAACAGCAGGCGATTTGCATTTAGCCTGCACTTCCAAAGGCATTCTGAACCATGTGTCACAGAACCCACTGACCCAGCTCTAAACCTAACTCCAAGCCAGACAATTGGTGTCCCTAGCTATAAAAGTCATTCTAATAGCTTGCTTCCAAATAACCTATTGTCCACAGCCAAAACGGGATCCTGGAATAGACAGTTGGCACTGGCAAGAGAAACACTCCCCACAGTAATGTATCTCTGACTCTCAGGGGAGGGAGTATCTTCTTCTCACATAATAAGTGCCCACAAGAGATTTTTTTTGGACTCTACTATTTTTATAGAGTTGACATCACATGAGATTCTCCCAGCATAGGACACTCACCAGAATGGCAGAGTGGAAGGATGGATGTGCTCTGGATCAGGCCAGGGTTCTGGGGTCCCTGTCACCTCACAACCTTGAAGAGGCCACAGCAGCCAGGCCCTTGTAATGCTTGCATATGCCAGCCTTCTTCTCT